GTACTTCTGTATTCAGGAGGTGCAGTTATATACAATAACTAATTGTTTTAAAGAAATATATTAGGGGAGGAGGCATTGTTCAGGCAAACGTTGAAGAATTATGTTTGAACCTGCTAGCCTGTTTTTGAAGCTGAGGCTGTTGCAATCACACAGGGAAAATGCCTCAATCCTGTTGAATCCTACCAGAATAGGCCTGTCCAGGGCACAAACAGAGCATTCGGTGTTACAGTCGTGCACCGAATACATCTTATCCTACTTGCTAATAACTAGGAAATCAGTTAGCTGTATACTGTACAAGTGATTTGAAACAGAATTTTATCTAGATAAGGCAATCAGGTCTTGTGGTAAAAAAAAGGTTGAGGGTCATTTGCTGTGAATATTAGTTGTAAATATGTTGCTTACAAGAATACAGCAGTGGAGAGGACTATATGGTCACTAAATGAAATATGCTGTAAAGGTGTTCTGTATATATTTATCTATATATTTACATCAAACAAGTTTATTGTTGCCATTGCGAGTTTTACTGTTACCGCTATTGTACAGCAGATAAACGGAAGTATGTAAAAAGCTGGTGACTTTGGACAAATCACTCTGTAACTCAGTGGCAGCGAAGAGCGAGGAAAACAATCCTGTAGCTTCAGTTTGCCAGGTTTTGTCCTACATTTACAAGTCTGAAGCAGTGTTATTTGTAGAAACAAAAGGGGCTGTCAATTCATAGAGTCCAAAGATGACTTATCAGACAAGGTATTTCAGAGAAGCTGTTGCCCAGCTGTTGAGGAGCAGTCATGCGATGAGACGCGCTGCATCTGCTCAACTCACCAGCCGCATTTCAGCAGTGTCCTCCCTTGCAGTGTGCTGTGCAGCACCTGTCTTCAGCATAACATGATACCTAACCTAACTTACCGTATCATTTGTAAACCACTGTACAAACCAGCAAAGCAGAATATTGTACTTGTCGCAAAATCAGTTAAAATCCTCTAAGACAATAAAAAGAAATAAACCATGACAATGAAAGCTATTTGAATTAAAAAAAAAAAAGGCAACAAAAAATGTAGTGGGTGAAGAGGGGAAGATGACTATTTACCCTCAGAATATAATAGCAAAACCTACATGCAAAGCATTATGCTAGAAAGTATTCCTGACCTGACTTTGTGTGGGATTACATGCCAGGAGTCTATCACCCAAAACATTGACTGAAACTTATTACATATTCATTATGCAAACTCTTGCAGATTAATTAATACAAACCTCTGGAAAAATCTAAATATGCATCTGTATATTTTGGAACTTACAGTTCAATAAAATGTTTTTTGACAGAAATAGTCTTGGTGACAGATATGTTGGGTATCTGTTGAGTATTCTTTGCTTCTTTTGTATTTATAGGCAATCAGTGAAATGCAGCCACTCGAAAAAGAAAATGAAATCCAATCTTAGATTCATTTAAACAGCAGGAGTTCTCTTCTCTACAGATCCTTATTACTATGTTACACATAACTGTAATAGCGGAGCACCATCAGTTGTGACTTAAGTGATATGAATAAATGCTGTCATTTGTGGTTCCCACTCTTCCGTCCTTTCCCCAAAAGGGATTTTTTTTGTGCAGTCTTTTTTGTAGCTTGTTTTATTTGCACACATATTATATGTATACCTATAAATACTTCCCCAAGGAGGGAATGTAATGTAATGCTGGGGGAAGTAAGTGCACATGAGTGCACACACATTCTCCTTCTTTTCTCTGTCCCATCCCCCTCATCTGTGTTTTGTTGAGGGAAACAGTGTTGCATGGGGAGAAAGGGGGAATGTTTGAGATGGCCGTGTGGTTCAACCTGCCTCTTAGAAAAAGTCAGCTCCTGCACAGGTGACTGTCGTCCTTTTGGAAGCGAGTTTCACTGCATGAGAGGATCATTGTTGTTGACTGTGCTCCTTTCCTTAGACCGTTGTTACAATCTTCGTGCACCAAGCCATTTGAACATCCTGAAGGTAAAGTCTGAGACTTTCAAACTCGGGATGCCTCGAACTTCAGCTTGTACCTTCTGAATTCCAGTGCTACAAACTTTCTCAGTGTATTGAGATTGGAGCTCACATTAATCATCTTGCTTACAGTAATCATCCAGCTGAAGTCATGTGCAAGTGAGGTTTTCTCAGTATTGCTGGGAGTAAACCAGAGCCTACTTTTCCCTTTGATTATGTAATTTTCCTCAAACCAGGCAGATTCAGTTGCCTACCAGTGTTGTGCAGCACTTCACCTTCATAGGAAACCCATGTTTTATTTCCAAGGAAAGAGTGTGAAGAGTAGCCTTTTGGCTTCAGCTGACAAGTCCTGTTGACAGTCCCTTTTGCCCTTTGACTCCTGATAGAAACTGGAATAGCTTTTGGCAGGTAGTACGTGAGGGCCTTAATTTGTTACAGCCATTGAGGGACGTGCATTGCTTTATTTTCTGTTCTGCCTGGTTTCCTGTGGAAATGAGGCTTTTTCTGCCATGCTCTCTCTCTGCCAGCCTGTCCAACCCTGTCCTATTGACTTTTTGAATCCGTTGGCCAATTTTAGTCCTACTTAACAGTGAGGCAGATGCCTTAATGATATCAAGGTTCTACCACTGTAATGAATGTTGGCAGCCAGATAGAGGAGAGAGATGTAATTAATGCCTGTACTGATGAAAAGGCTTCAGTGTGTGCTCAGCTTTTTCTAGGTATCAGGCTTTATTAGCTCTGTTGTGAATGAAACTGCCTGTTTTTATATTGTACGAGCATTATTGTAATGGTCTAATAGGTGGCTTTTTTTCTGTGGTTTATCTTGCTATCATGCGTAAGAGCCCTAATGAGGGTTCAAAATGCTATTGAGCGTGTCAATGTTGAGTGTGCAGGCTAATACTACCAAATATCAGTGTTACTAATTCTGGGAGATAACAGAGCTGCATGAGGACAGAAATCTCTTCTTTCACTGCTCCTCCTTGGCTGTCCTCATCTTACAAGGAGGCCAGCATCTGCTGCCTGGGGTCTCCAGCCTGAAGCAAAGACTGCAGCATCGTGGGCTGCTGACACTTCTTCTCTGTGCCAGAAATCTTCCTTGTATCATATAGCCCTCACCTTCACCAGCTTCTCTCCTGGGACCCGGGGTTCCTGCCTGACCTCCTGTACAGAAGCATTGCTCTGTCTCACTCCATTGCTGTGGAGCAGGATGCGTGCTATGGATGGAGGAGCGATGTGGGGAACAGCTTACTTTTGCTGTTCCCCTAGAAAGATTGTCCCTGTTGGTACCATGGTAGGAGGGAGGAATGGGGATAGTCTAACCATCCCATTTAATCTGTGGGATAGTTCTATCAGTTTACACGAGGAAGCCAGTTTGACTTGCATAATTCGGACATTTCGTCTCTTGCATGATGATCTCTTGCCTTTTTCACCTTTATCGTTCTGTAAAAATGTGGAAAAACAATTAAGTTTTGCCATCTGGACAAAAATTGTAAAGAAAGATTATTTACTTGAAACTCCAGAAAGTATTTACCTGGGTTTGAGCAGCTGGTCTAAGATAGCCAACCTTTGTACAGGGGACAAACAGCAGAAACATACATTGTTTTGAAGTTTTAAATTTGTAAAAGGTGTGTATCTAGAATATAGTTAAATATGATGTATGTGCAAGTTCAAAAATTACATGCTGTAGATCACTGCCTTAATTGCCTTTTAGACTTGAGGTTTAGAATTGACCTGTCAAACTTTCACAAAATAGGCTGTTTTTATTTTGAGTTATGAATCTGAGGCAGAAATGGCAAATAAGATGATGTATAAGCCCAGTAATGCGAGTTTTTTTTAACATTCCAGGCTTGGTTCATAATGATGTTTGTAGGCGATCTTGGTAGAGTTCCTGAATAAGTATGCAATAAGTGTATTCTTTTTTTCCTGTAGCAAGGTATTTAAGCATTAATTTAAGTGTAAGTCAGCATGTCATGATTCTGTCTTCCTGCAACTTAGCCTATCTCTTCTGGTACCTTTAAATTTTGTTTAGACTTTTGTCTTACTCTAGTCTTAGAAGTGGTTCTTATCAGCAATTGGAAATAGTAAGGTAGTCACCACTAATTCTGAGAAATGGAAAGAATGAATATATGTACATGCACACTGATCTATAAGCTTTTATTTAACATGTTTTTCATGAATCCTATTTTTTTTTTCTCTTAACGTATATCCTAGTTGTACATGCCAGAAACTGTGATGGGTTTGCAGACTTGCCTACTTACACAACTGTTCCTTCTGGATGCTTTTTATTACTCATATTGTGGAATATATTGGTTAATTTGTAAAATATCAAAAGCACTGTAAAATGGGAGATAACAAATTACTGAATACCACACACACAATTTATTTTATTTTTTTAATAAATGAGCTTTTCTGCTGGAATACAGAAAACTTCAGGGGGTTTGCAAACACTTTCACAAACAGTTGGCTCAGTATTGGTCCTAACTAGTAAAACACTCAAATCTCTCTGAAATGAAGTATGTGATTAACCTTCCTTGACAAATTGGAGCTGTTATGAATAGTATGACCCCATGGGTCAGAACAAAGCAAACTTAGCACTTTTGTTTTCAAAACTTGATCAGTGGAATTTTTTATTAATGTGCACTGAGCCTTTTGACTTTCATAGACTGATTTTTGATTTGTAAAGTGTTCTGAAAGCAGCCCTGAATTCTCAAATGGCACTATGGCTTTGCTCAGCTGGAGCAGCGGCCTGGCTCTCCTGAGGATTGTCTCGCTGGAGCTGGGTGAAGGAAGATTGTTTGCCCTGGTTCGTGACTCAGAGAATTTAAATGGATCGGCTATGGGTGACTCCAGAGAATATAGGAGCTTTTGCTTCCCAATTCTGGATTTAGAATATGCATTTCTGACATTTATTTCACACCTGCAAAAGTTATTTGGAGAGTATAACGTGAAGATGTGGAAAGAGAAAGGCAAAGAGGAGATTTCCCATTGAAATTTTGTTTATATTTTTGTTCTTTTGCTTTTCGTTCCAGTGAAATGAAGCAGAAGTTGGATGAAGAGGGTAACAAGTGCAGCATCCTTTCCAAGCAGCAGAAGTTTAACGAGCATTGCTGTATTCGCTGCTGTTCCCCTTTCACGTTTCTTATCAACAGCAAGCGACAGTGTCAAGACTGCAAGTATAACATCTGCAAGAGCTGCAGTTCTTACCAGAAGAAGGAGAAGGCTTGGATTTGCAGTGTCTGCCAGCAAGCGAGGTAAGGACCTATTGTTTAGCAACCTGTGTAAAGCAGTTGTGGCCTGACCTGAGCTTTTCCGTGTATTTGTCAGGGGTTAACGCTGGCAGGATAGGACATGAAGTACCTGTTTATGTAGGGGTTGATTTGTTCCTGAGGTGTGACGTGCCTGTTTTTTGTAGAGGTTAATTTGTTCCGAGAGTGTTTGGTTACCTGTTGCGCTTTCCAGGCTTGCTTAGCTGGACTGATGAATCGGCAAGCAGTAATTGGACTTAGCTTGAACAGGGCTGGGATCTCCTGAAATGCCTGGGTTGCTAATGGAACCTGAGCGCAGATGGTGGTAAGGCAGTTAATCATTTTGCTGCAAATCCCACTGGTGGGTGGGGAGTGGAAGGAAGAAAATTGGTGAATAGATCATCCAGCTGTGACTGTGTTTTGGAGTGCTTTTCTAAATGCCAGCTTATTGGTGGGGATGCTTTGGGCTTACTTTGGCAAATAACCAGACAAAATAGCAGTGCAACCTGTTATAATTCGTAACATCTGTTAAGAAAATGCTGCCAGGCTTCTATTTGCAGAGGGTATCAGGGATTTACCATCTCACCCTTTTAAGGCTAACAGAGCCACAACCTTTAAGATAGCACCAGAAAAACAAAGCAAATTCAAGCAAACACATAACAGCAGCAAAGGGGCCATTCCTTGGGTAGTGACTGTGATAGTCCTTCTTGTCTGCGTTGCAGGCCAGGTTCCAAAAGCAGTGGAACCTGCTGTGGTGACGTAGCACTGACCAGGGCCTTTTTACTCAGACAAGAAGGGTGAATGAAATAACTCGATTCCTCATAGTTTAATTTTGAATGTTAGTGACTAAAGCAGCTGAGCAAATGTGACAAAAATGGCTGTTTACCCTTCGTCTTTCCCTTTAGTGGAGAACACAGGATGAAGACAAGAGCTGAGTCCCTTTCCAATGCTGTATGATATTCCTGTGCTCACCAAAGACTCATTGCTCCCACTTGTTTCCTGTTAACACCCACTTGAAATTTAAGCTTTCACATAATATGAAGTGTGTGCCCTTTGACACAGGGCCTGAAAATCATAGGGATCCCAGAGAGATGGTGCTGTGTTTCCAAATGCCAGCCTTTGAACCCAAAGGAGGTTGTGTTCTCCAGGGCACCTGCTCCTTCTCTGCCTTTTACCTTTGAAAACCTACATGCACCCCCTTTCCCCCAGTGAGGGAGCAGAAGAACGACAAGAGTATCTTTTCCAGCAACACAGAGAGCTGTGGAGCTAGTGCTTGTTTCTACTTTAGTCATTGGACCGTTTCATATTACACCTCTTTCTTCCACTTATCCCGAGTTCACCCATACGGGCAGCAGAACAGACAGACAGGTTTGTGGATGCTGATGAACTGCACTTAAAATAGTTTTTGCTGACTCCACAAAAAAGTCTAAGAAGAATTTAATTTCAGAAGAAAAATGTGTAGCTGTATTACAAAAATGCTATTTCTGACCCTTCAAGTCAGTGCTTTTCCCACAGTCCTGTGCAGCCCTCAAAGTCACCCACCTGTAACTCAGTTATAAACATTTTCTTTATTTATGAGACCTGAGATACAGCTTGAGTTATTTTTCAGTGAATAAATTAACTAACAAACACTGCTGCTAATCATTTTATGGTCTGGTTTATTGATTGGACTGTGCGACTTACAGATCCCTGTGGGGGAGGCAGGGGGTGGCATTCCTCAGGGCCTGCTGAGGTGTTTTGGTTTTGGGGGGTGGTGTGGGTTTTTTTGTTTGTTTTTAGCTATCAGTCAGTATTTCTTACAGGGGGAAACACCACAGTCTGTTGTGAGTTCCTGTCGCTTTCTCAGTGACTTATCCCTCAGATGGAGCATGGACTGTGCTCTCCTGCCCCTCCCCAGCTCCTCTTATGTCTTTTATTTTTTCCTTTAATAAGATAGCACAAGTAGTGGAGGTGGTTCTCTGTTTAGCTGCTGCTTGTCTGCGCATCTTAATGCACAATAACTAGTGAGTTAGAAACATCTCAGAGAGGACTGCATTTTCAGGTTGTTCTCCTTCTTTTTCCTCCCCTCCCCATATGTTTTTGCTTAATTCCACAAGAGTTAATGTTGTAATTCTCTGCTGTGCAGAAAGAGTTTGGTCGAACTGGAGAAGTACAAACATATACGGTTCAGACTTCCTGTAATGATGTTTGTGCTCTTCAGCTCTGCTTTAGAGCAGTGCTCGAATAATCCTGAGTTTTATTTCTAGTGTGTATTTAGAATATGTCAACCAGTTCTCTGATGTCGGAAGCAGTTTCTTGCTGTACAAAAGGCTATAAAGCATTCTCAGCATAAATTTTTGTAAAGATGGCTCACCTTATACATTAGAGCTTGAGACTCTAGGTGAATTACGAAGATACATTTTGTTTATGTGCACATGTGAAAATTCTGAAAACTTCCTGTTTGATGTGGGAATCAGAACCAATGACTTGGGGATGGTTAAAATTTTTTGGAAAGCAATACATTGCATAAACATCACTTGGGTTCGATGGAGGATTTAAAAACCTTCTCGGAGCTGTACCTTTTTCTTTAGACTACCTTATTTCCCATTATCTTCCTCCAAAAGAGTGGCATGAACTTTTGCAGGTTGTAAATAGTCTCCTGGTAGATTCTTGCACCGAGGTGATCTTGACACTGAAGAAAATCTGTCATGTTGAGTTAGTCTCCCAAGGCATGACCCTAGTAGAGATACCTGTTCTATGGAAGTTGGTTTCAATCTTCCAAGACAGAGATCTACATTAACATATAACAGAGAGAAAATACACAGGTCAGCGTTTGAAGCATAGAACGTTTGTAGAAAATTGGGCCAAAAAGTTAGTCTGTGCTTCTTCCAAAAGCAGTAAACTCATCAATAAGCCAATGACAATTTTGCTGTTTCAACTCCTTTAAAGCATATCTCGTGTTACAATGCATCTTTTAAAAGTTACAAGATTCAGCTCAGTACAGAATCTCAATGCTCTGAAGTGTCTTAACAGCAATGGCTGTATAGATCTTATGAGGAACTGGAGAACCTTCCTTCAGTTTCCCAATTTTCCAGATTTAGCACACATTCTCCTAATGCATTTTGGTTTAGATTTATCTCTCGATGCCGTTATTAACTTTCTAGGTTTTTTTCTGCTCATATATGTATCTTCTTAATTTCTAAGTATGTTTTGATAAAAATCTATATTATTAATTTCAACTTTTCAATTTCTCTATAGTGCATTTCCATTTCTTACAAAGCTTTGTACAATGTCTCCTCGTTAGATACCCAGAAGACAATGTGTTTTGGCAACTTGCTGAGGTCTGTACCTCTTAAGTCCTCTTGACTAAATAGATTTGAGGCACAGTTTCTTTGCCCTCTGGATTAACGCTTTTGGTGCCAGACAGGGGGGTTCTTTGCTCATTTATTAGAAATAGGGCATGCTTTCCATTTGTTTGAGACCACTTTTCTTTTCCAACCCCCAAGGAGCCATATCCCAGAACACTCTGCTAGTGATACTCTGCTTTCCAGTTTAACACTTGTACTAAAAAAAATCAGAGTAAGCCATTAAAATGCATATTTTTGCAGGTTTTCTAAACCAATCACATTTTACTTCTGGACTGTAGGATGGGTGTATATACAGACCTATCCAAAATAAGGCACACAAACATCTGGCGTTCACCTCAGCTTTTCATGACTATCCTGCGTGAATCCCCCCGCGATCTTCCTTCCCTTCTTCTGGTCTCACCATCTGCATATCAAAAGGTCTTTGTCTCCGTTGTGAGTAGGAGCATGGACACCTAATCCTTTCATGCCTTCACATCCATCTGCTGTGTGATTCTCTCACTTGGCCTCAGAACCCTCGATCAGATGATGAGAGTTCATCACCTAGCAGCCTCTTGCTTAGCTCCCTTGAGCCAGGCTGTGAGTAAGGGGGCATCACCTGGTCTGCAGGAAGTCGTTATTCTGCTTCATAAGAGCTGCTTTGTTGTTGATGGTCCTTTGCCAATGACAGTTATTAAGAAACAGAGACCTGGGCACTGCTCCTTTTCTCCTTAATGATGTTAACTAATGAAAAACACAGCCATGCTGCTGCATACACTCAGACTTCATGCAGTCAAAGTAGTGTTCAAAACGGGTCCCCAAAGTTGTCACACTGGTTTGCAGCACAGATTTATTTGAATGCTTGAGAGAACTGCTCTTTGTTTTAGGCTTTTGTACTCCTAATTTGACTGCTGCTTTAAAAAATAGAAAGCAAGAGAATATCATTTATCTTCATAGAGTCTCAATCCAGAGTTATTTTTGAATGTTCTTTACATTTTCTTTTGAGTTTATTGAGGTGCCCAGTTGAAAGATAGGGTTCTAACTAGACACTAACAGTTTGCATCAGTAGCAAACGTAATTGTCTTACTGGAACTTGAAAAATAATTAGAATTAGATTAATGCATTAGATTTTTTTTAAATGTACATTACAGTGAGACTTGAGGAAAATTTATTAAGGTCTAGGCTACCTGCAGTGCCCTGTATGTTTGTCTCTGACTAGCATGTATTGGGATTAATGCTAATGTAAAAATAGAGCAATGCTTATGATAACATGAAAATTGCAACAGAAAATAAAAATCTAGGCTCAGTGGGCAGATGGAGCACCTTTCAAAGAGACTGGAACTTTGCCAGCCCCAGGAACAGTCCTAAATAAAATCTTTATATTTCAGATGGTTTTGTTTGGAAGGCCCATTCACTGTAATGTGCTTTAATGTCAGCAGAATGGAGTGTATTTTTGTGGAAACATGGTAAAGTTGATAGTAGATGTGATTTTAGCCTGCCAAAGGATACATCCCTTCTGCTTAGCTGATGTAAGTTTTAGTGTAAAACTCTTCACAGTCTCTACAGGGAAAAAAAAAACCGCCAAAATTTGGCAAAACCTTGGGATGGGTACTTGAGAAAATGAAGTACTCCTAGTAAATAACTAAACCTTGTATTTGTTGATGCATTCGGCTGTAACAAAAC